TTCCACTTTCAATATGATACCTTGTTCACATTTATCACTGCGCTTATTCCTAAATTCTATACTTGCATTGAACTTCTCTCTCTAGTGAATACACATGTCAAAAACTCATTTGAAACCTCACCTATGACTTTGGCTCCACACACAGATTGCCATTTGGTCCCTAATAGGCCTTACTCTTTCCCTGATTATTCTCTTCCCCCTAATATAGTTATAAAATTCCCCTTGGATTTTTCTTAATATTATTTAACAGTGTTTTATTTTCTTGTCCCCACTTTGCTATCCTACTTTCTTCCTTATGTAACCCCTTGTACTTGCTATACTCTGAGGACATCTGGTCTTTTCAGAGCTCAATACCTCCTATAAGCTTCCTTTTCTCCCTTTTCCAATTCTGTACATCCAGAGTCCTCTGGACTTGTAGGCCCTACCCTTCACCTTCACCTTTACAGGAACATATTGATCCTGGACTCACCTTTTGGAAGTCTTCCACTGCTCTGATATGGATTTTCCTGCAAGTAGCTGTTTCGAATCTACTTCAGCCAGATTCTGTCTTATTTCATTCAGCCTTCTCCCCATTCAGAACTTTGTCCTTGTCCTTAATTACCTGAAACCTTACTGAATTATGGTCAATGTCACTGTAATGTTCCCTACTGATACATCAAACACTCATATCTGGTTCCCTGCAGTTTGATCCAGCATCACGCCCTCTCTGGTAGGATTGTCTAATGTGCTGGATGAAAAATCTCTCCTGGACATAGCTTAAGAATTCTGGCCCCTCTAAGCCTTTCATACTTTGTCTATCACATTAAATACTAGGGAAGTTGACATCCCCTATTATTTTTACAGTTCTCTGGAGATTTGTCAACATATCTCACTTTCTATCTCTCCTGGACTGTTTCAGAGTCTATAATACATGCCCAACAAAGAGATTGCCCCAGGTTTATAGTCATAGAGTCATACAGCAGGGAACCAGGGCCTTTAGTCCAACTCGTCCATGCTGACCAAGTTTTCCGAACTAAACTAGCCTGCATTTGGCCCATAACACTTTCCTATTCACGTACCTATCCAAAAGCATTTTTAATTTTGAAACTGTAGCTGAATATACCACTGCCTCTGACAGTTCATTAGAATACAAACCACCCTCTGTGTGAGAAAGTTGCCCCTCATGTCTCGTTTAAATCTTTCTGCTCTCACCTCAAAAATATTCCCCTAGTTTTGAATTTGCCCACCCTAGGGAAAAGATCTTTGAGGTTCACCTTATCTAAGTCCCTCAAGATTTTTTAAATCTTGGGATGATCACCTTGATGGGAGTGTATTATGGGACCCAAATATTCAGAGGAACTTGAGGAGCAAATCTGTAGAGAGATCTCAGATACATATAAGAACAATAGTGTTGTTATAGCAGAGGATTTTAACTTGATGACCGTAGACTGGGATTGCCATTGTTTCAAGGGTTTGGACAGTGAGAAATTTGTTAAATGTGTCCAAGAAAATTTTCTTTATCAATATGCAGACATAACTACTGAAGAAGGAGCAAAACGTGATCTTCTCTTGGGAAATAAGGCAAGGCAAGTGTCTTAAGTGTTAGTGGGAGGGCACTTTAGGACCAGTGTCCATAATTCTATTCGTTTTAACATAGTTATGGAAAATGATAGGCCTTGTACAAAAGTTAAATTTCTTAATTGGTGTAAGGTAAATTTTGATGCTATGAGACAGGGACGTTTAAAATTTGATTGGAGTAGATTATTCATAGGTAAATGGACGGCTGGCAAGTGGGAGATTTTCAAAAGTGAGGTGACAAGAGGTCAGAGGCATCATGTTCCTGTTACAGTGAAAGATGAGACCAGTAAAAGTAGGGAACGATGGGAGAATAAAATATTGAGGGTCTAGCCAAGAATGAGAAGGAACCATATATTAAGTGTAGGTAACTGGGATCAATTGAATCTCTTGAACAGTACAACATTCTTAAGAGAGAAATCAGGAGGGTAAAAAGGGGATAGGAGACAGCCTTGGAAGATACGGTTAAACATAATACAAATTCATTAAGAATAAAAGAACAACTAGAGAGAGAAAAGGCCCCTGAAAGATCAGCGAGGTTGTCTATTTGTGGAACCACATGGGAGAGATACTAAAGGAATACTTTGCATCAGTTTTTTTTACTGTGCAGAAAGAAATAGAGACTAGGGACATGGGAGAATAAATATTGATACAATGGAGTGGCTTGCTAGGCCATTTCAGAGGGCAGTTGAGAGTCAACCACATTGCTGTGGGTCTGGAGTCACATGTAGGCCAGACCAGGTGAGGGTAGTAGATTTCCTCCTCTGAAGGACATTAGTGAACCAGAGGGCTTTTTCCTGACAATTGGTAATGATTTCATGGTAATCAGTAGATTCTTAATCCCAAACTTTTTGTTTAATGGTGGGATTTGAACCCTGGTCTGCAGAACATCAGCTGGGTTCCTGGATTAATAGTCTAGCGATAATACCACTAGGCCATCACCTACCCCCTCTGTAATAATGACAATATCACATTCCCACACATTAACCAACACCCTCAGCTTATGTCTTACCCACAAGGAACTGACATCCAGCCATGCCATGCTCCCTTATGCCCTCAGTTGACAATGTTCACATTGCCTTTTGGACTGAATTCGTTCGTCTTCGTGGGGTCATTTAGCTGGACAGTTGATTTTGCGATGTAGAATGATGCAAACAATGTTGGTTTAATTCCCGAGCTCAGGTGGTTCAGTGGTTAGCCCTACTGCCTCACAGTGCTAGGGACTGGGGTTTGATCCTACCCTCCGGCTACTGTATACGTGGAGTTTGTACATTCTCCTCGTGTCTGCGTAGGTTTCCTCCCACAGTCCAAACATAGGCAGTTTAGGTGGATTAGCCATGCTAAATTGTGCGGGGATGTGTAGGTTAGGTGGACTAACCATGGTAAATGTGGGTGTTACAGCAAAAGAGGAGGGAGATGAGTCTGAGCAGGATGCTGTTCAATGGCCCAAACATACTTTCCAGGTGAAGCAACACTTCACCTGCACTTCCAAGAATCTAGTCTACTGCATTCGCTGCTCACAATGCGGTCTCCTCTACATTGGGGAAACGAAGTGTAGACTTGACGACTACTTCGCAGAACATCTACGTTCTGCTTGCAAAAAAGACCCTGAACTACCTGTTGCCTGCCACTTCAATGCACCACCTTGCTCCCTGGCCAACATCTCTGTCTCCGGCTTGCTACAGTGTTCCAGTGAAGCCCAGCACAAGCTGGAGCAACAACACCTCATTTTCCGCTTGGGGTCCCTACAGCCCTCCGGACTCAATATTGAGTTCAATAATTTTATGGCCTAAACTCTCCCATGTCCCAGCCCCCCACCCCACACACCAGGCCTTGTTACCACATAGCCTGCCACTACACACCCCCTGTTGTTAGTCACTAACAGTCCCCATTAACAACTATTCACCCTCCCAGCCTGATCGTTAGTAACTCCTTTGTCTGTCCAACTGTCTTTCTCTCTCTTTGGGCTCTATCCTATCGTTTACTCCCTACCCCACCCACCTCCCTATTTTCTGCATATTAACTGACGTTTTCCCAGCCACCATCAGTTCTGAGGAAGGGTCACCGGACCCGAAACGTTAACTCTGTTTTCTCCTCCACAGATGCTGCCAGACCTGCTGAGCTTTTCCAGCAACTTTGTTTTTGATGCTGTTCAATGGGTTGGTGTAGAACTTTTAAAAGGGGCATCACGGTGGCTCAGTGGTTAGCACTGTGGCCTCACAGCACCAGGGACCCAAGTTCGATTCGGCCCTCGGGCGACAGTGTGTGTGGTGTTTGCACATTCTCCCCGTGTCTGCGTGGGTTTCCTCCGTGTGCTCTGGTTTCCTCCCACAGTCGAAAGATGTGCAGTTTGGGTGGATTGGCCATGCTAAATTGCCTGTAGTGTTCAGGGATTCCTAGATTAGGTGGGTGAAAGGGTCCGGGTGGGATGCTCTGAGGGTTGGTGTGGACTCATTGAGCCAAAGGACCTGTTTCCACACTGCAAGGATGCAATGATTCTATAATTCCCATACTGTTTGAGATTATCATGAAGGTCCCACCTTCTCAACCTTCCCCTTGTCTGAGGCATGGTGACCCTCAGGTTAAATCACCAACAGTCATCTCTCTCTTGGGTGGTGTAAATCAGGAAGAAAAACAGAAGTTGCTGGAAAAGCTCTGCAGGTCTGGCAGCATCTGAAAAGAAAAAAAATCAGAGTTAACATTTTGTGTCCAGCTTTTCCAGCAATTTCTGTTTTTGTTCCTCCTTCTTTATTTCTCTGTTTATTCAACCCCCACACTTCCCCTGCACCTTCAGTGCATATCCCATCCCTCTGCTGCAACTGATGAGTGAGCCAGTTTGTTGAAGGCTGTCTCAGGAATAGAGTAGAAAGTGATGGGAAATAGAAAAGATTCTCAAGGGAGGACCCTCAGTTCTGCTCTTCAGATAACTCTGGGTCTCCTGGGACAATGGAAAGTTGAGAAAACTGTCAGGCACCAAACATTCTCTTCAACCAACAGCAACAAACACCCGCAGTTTAACCTCAGGATGTTTACAAACCACCTGAAACCCTCTATCATACTCCAGTCTGTAGCTCATTCCACACTGTCTCAGGTCAGATTATAAACCTGATGTGGAGGTGCCGGTGTTCGACTGGGATGGCCAAGGTCAAAAGACACACAACACCAGATTCTAGTCTAACAGGTTTATTTGAAATCACAAGCTTTCAGAGTGTGACCCCTTAATCAAGTGACTCCACCTGACGAAGTGGCAGCGTTTCAAACGCTTGTGATTTCAAGTGAACCTGTTAGACTATAACCTGGTGCTGTGTGACCATTGAGTTTATAAACCATGATTGTATGATGTTATATCGCGTCACGGTATATAAGAGATTTTACCTCACTGTTTGGCGTCTGGGCTGTGTTCATCTCTCCCTCTCTTTCTCTTCCCCCCCCCTTCCGCCCAACAGATTTTTCTCTGAATGGTTGGTCAATGACAGGCGCGGACAGTGTGAGCGCTGAGAAAGGAGGCTCCGCTGTTTTACCCTGCAGCTTCACCCACCCAGACACTAATCTCACACTCACCGGCTCCGTGATATGGAAAAGTCAGAACAAAGATGTTATCTTTAAATGTGCATATCATTCCCAGGGTGAGCTGTGTGAGAATGTGATACAGCGGGACGGTGGAAACCGATTCAGATTCGTGGGGAACCTCAGCAACAAAGATGCCTCAATAATAATAGACGGACTGGGCCAGGAGGATAAGGGTTCCTATCGGTGTCGTGTAGAGCTCAACATTGGCAAATTTGAAACACAGACTCCAACAAAGCTGGAAGTGAAAGGTGAGGAGCAATGTCCGGATGGCGTCACTGTCCTCATCGCTCAATGGGGACAGGCTCCACCTGAGCTTTCGGCTCAGATCCTTGTCCTGGGCTCTTTCAGTTGATCTGAGGCAGGAGGTAGTGAGAAAGAGAAAGAGAGGCGAGGCTGGGATTTATAAACCACTCCATTCCCGTCTCTGAAACCTCACACAGTCTCTCACACACTCACTCATTGGCTGTGTTCAAACTGGCTTCAGTGTTCTGGGATTGGGAACAGAGACAACATCACCAAGGGTCCAAGCTCCAATGAGATCCCTGCTCTATCGACATTGGGTGAGGACAAGAGAGACATGACACCTCCTGAAGCCCTCATTGGATGAGCACGACACAGGGTGAAGGAATCTTCAGTTCACATTGGCTGAGAACCTCACTGTTGCCATTTTCCCTTTCTATTGGCTGAGGCGAAAATGGGGTATCAGCCCTTTTCCAGAGACTGATGTCCTGGGGAATAGGTTCCATTAGAGTGGCAGATTGTCAAATTCAAATTTTACAAATATCTACAACTGAAAACTAGTAATGACTGTGAACCATCACTGTAACAAAAACAAACACCATCTGGCACTCATGTCTATTAGAAGGGACATGTGCCATCCTTACCTGGCCTCACTTACATGTGACTCCTGACCCACAGTCATGTGATTCACTCTTAACTCCCTAAATGGCTCACTCAGTTGTGGACAAGGAGTTGATCCAGGAGTACAAATGAAACTGTGGCTACAAGAGCAGGTCACAGGCTAGGAATCCTGTAAATTAACACACCTCCTGACTCCAAAGCCTAGTGACCAGTCAGCAATGTGATGGAACACTCCCCACTTGCCTGCAAGAGTGCAGCTCCAACAACATTCAAGAAGCTTGATCCTATCCAGGAAAAAACAGCAGCTTGGTTGGCACCACATCCACATTCACTCTGTTCACCGACACTCAGCAGCAGCAGTCTGTACCATCTGCAAAATGCACTGTAGCAACTCACCAATTCTTCTCAGACAGCACTTTCCAAATCCACAATCACTGCCATTGAGAAGGATAAGAGCAGCAGATCCAATGGGAACATTACCATCTACAGGTTCCCCTCCAAGACACTCACCATCCTGACTGGGAAATCATTGTTCCTTCAGTGTTACTCAGTCAAAATCCTGGCAGTGTCTTCCTAATACTTTTGTGGGAATAAAAATAACTGCAAAACACTCTTCAGTAATGCACCAACACTTCTTCCACCAGCACCTTCCAAAGTAGTGACCTCTATGACCTCAGTGAAAAATGGCAGCAGATACACCATCCTGACTTGGAAGTGTATTTACCTTTTAATTGTTCAAGGGGATGTGGGCATTACACGCTTGGTCAGACGTTATTGGCCATCACAAATAACCATGGAGAAGGGAATAGTGAGCTGCCTACAGGAACTGCTGCATTCCCTCAGGTGCAGGGACACTCATGATGCATTTGGCAAACTAAGTTCCAGGACTTTGTACTAGTGACACTGAAGGAATGGTGAAATATTTCCAAATCAGGATGGTGAGCGTCTTGGAGGGGAGCCTGTAGGTGGCGATATTCTCCTGCATCCTATTTTCATCAGTAAACATGCATCCGCACTTCTGACCTTATATTTGAGGGAATGTCATTGATGAAGCAGCTCAAAATGGTTGGGCCCAGGATACTCCTTTGAGGAACTCCCGCAGAAATGTCCAGGAGCAGAGATGACTGACCTGCTGCAACTATAACCATCTCAACTTTCTGGGGACCCTACGCCCTCCTGTCACTCATTGTCATTCCCATACCTTCCCGAGCACCCACCCTTTCCTAGCCCTCGGATACCATCACTTTCAGTTCCCCAGCGATCCCCCCCAAACCCAACCCCTGCTATGTTTTCACCATATCTCATGATCTTCTGTACGTTGAAGCTGAATATACTGTCCTTAGCAAAGGACCCAGCTTCATACCCTTACACACCCATCTTTCAGGCTCCCATGATGTTGAACCGCTTTTCCGCCACCTCCGTCTCCATGCCAACTTCTTCAGGCAGGAATCACCCCCACCGTACCCGTCCCACTGATCCCATCACCTGCCTCGAGTATTCACCGTGCACTCATACCCCTTCCTCTGGATTCTTACCTGTCCGCAAACATTTCATTCAAAATTGCCAGCGTGAGATCAACCATCTCAATTTCTCTGCTCCTCTCACCCACTCTAAGCTGTCCCCTTCTGAAATTGCTGCATTTTGCTCTCTCAGGTCCAATCCCAACTTTGTCATTAGAACCTCCAATAAGGGTGATGCCGTTGCTGTTTGATACACTGGTCTTTACCTTGCAGAGGCTCAACGCCAACTCTCGGATGCTTTTTCCTCCCTCACCCGACCATGACCCCACATCCCAACACCAAGCTATTGTTGCAGGACTGTCAATGACCTCATTCCCACCAGACATTCTCCCCCCACTGCATCTAACCTTATAGTGTCCCAACCCCAGACAGCCCACTTCAACCTCCTTCACAAAATCCACAGACTGGACTGTCCCAGAAGGCCCATCATATCAGCCTGTTCCTGACCCACCGAGCTCATTTCCTCCAACCTTGACTCCATCCTTTCTCCATTTGTCCAGACCCTGCCCACCTTCATCCGCAAGTACTCTGATGCCCTCCGCCATATTGACAATTTCCAGTTGCCTAGCTCTAACTGCCTCCTCTTCACCATGGATATCCAATCCCTCTATACCTCCATTCCCTACCAGGATGGTCTATGAGCTCTTGGTTTCTTCCTCGACCACAGGCCTGAACAATCCCGATCCACTACTCTCCTCTGCTTCGCTGAACTTGTTCGCTCACTGAACAATTTCTCCTTTAATTCATCCTACTTCTGCCAGGTCAAAGGAGTGGGTATGGGACCCAGTTATGGTGCCTTTTTATTGGGTATGTGGAACAATCCTTGTTCAGGGCCTACACTTGGCCCCTTCCACAACTCTTTGCTTGGTATTTCGACGACAGTTTTGGTGCTACTTCACGCTTTCACCTGGACTTTCAAAAATTTGTGAATTTTGCCTCTAATTTCCACCCATCCATAACTTTCACATGGTCCATCTCTGACACTTCCCTTCCTTTCCTTAACCTCTCAGGGAATAAACTGTCCACCACCATCCACTACAAAGCCACTGACGCCCATATTTATCTTCAGTAAAGTTCTTCACATCCCATGTCCTGTAAGGACTCCATTCCATTTGCCCAATTCCTACACCAATGTTGTATCTGTTCAAATGAAGCCAACTTCCAAAACACAGCTTCTAACATGTCTTCCTTCCTCCATAACTGTGGTTTCCCACCCATCGTAGTTGATAGGGCCATCAACCACATCCGAAATATCACCCGCGCTTCCACTCTTGCCCCTTCCCTTCACTCACAGTAGTGTGGTCAGGTCCCTCTCGTCCTTACTTTTCATCCAACTAGCCTCTATATTTCAAGGCTCATCCTCTGCCATTTAAGTCAACTTCAGCAGAACACCACTACTAAACACGTCTTCCCCTCATTCCCGCTGTATGCATTTCACAGGGACTGTTCCATCCAGCACACCTTAGTCTATTCCTCGTTGGCCATTAACACCACCCCCGCTTCTCACGGGACCTTCCCATGTAACTGCAGAAGGTGCAACACCAGCCCCTTCGCCTCCTCCCTGCTCACCATCCAAGGACCTAAACAGTGTTTCCAGGTGAAGCAGCATTTCATCTGTACCTCCTCCAATCTGGTTGATAGCATTTGTTGCACCCAATGTGTCCCAATCTACATTGGAGAAACCAAACACAGACTTGATGACCACTTTGCAGAACTCTCCGGCCCATGCGCAAGCATGACCTAACCTTTTAACTCAGCAATTTGCTTTCATGCCCATTTGTCTGTCCTCATGCTGCAATGCTCCAGTGATTCACAGCGCAAACTGAAGGAACAATATCTCATCTTCAGACTGGGCACTTTACATCCTTATGGACTTAATATTGAGTTCAACACCTTCAGGTCACAAAGTCTCTCGCATTTCTGCCCTTTTTATTAGCTTTACTCGTTGCATTCTCTGTTACCATATCCTCTCTCCACACCCCCAACTCCAGTGTGACCATTTGTTCTGTTTGGCTGTTAGATACACCATTATTCTGCCATTCTCACATTCCGATCACACAGTCAGCATTATCAGCAGCGTCTCTCCCCCCGCACCCCACCCCCACAAAATTGCATCAATGCTTCCTCCTCCAACCTTCACGTCAACCCTGATGAAGAGTCATCTTGACCCAAAATGTTAGCTTGCTCTCTTCTCACGGATGCTGCCTGATCTGTTGTGATTTCCAGCATTTTTTGTTTTCAGTACAGTTTCCAGAAACTGCAGTACTTTGCTCCAACCGTCTTCCTATGTGCCAGGGATGATGAAAACCATTGGAGATGGGCCCTGATGCCCATTGGCTCTAGTTGTGTGAGGACCCCTTGATGCCACACTCAAATAACGGTGGCCTTGGTATCATATGTAGTCATTCTTTTCTCATCTCTGGAATTCAGCTCCTTTGTCCATGTTTGAACCGAGGCTGTCATGAGGTCAGGAGCTGAGTGGCTCTGGCGGAACCCAAAATAGGTTATTGCTGAGGAGGTGCTGCTTAATAGTACTCCTGGTGGCATCTTCCATTATTTTACTGATGATCGAGAGTTGACTGATTGGCCAGTAATTGACCATCTTAGACTCACCTTGCTTTTACACGCAGGACATACCTGGGCAATTTTCCATATTGTCGTGTAGATGCCAATGTTGTAGCTGTACTGAGAGAGCTTGGTGCAGCAATTTCAGTAGCACAAGCCTTCAGTATGATAGCCAGAATGTTGTCAGGGCCCACAGGCTTCACATTCTCCAGTGACCCCAACAGTTTCTTGGGATGATGTGCAGTGAATGGAATTGGCTGAAGACAGGCATCTGTGTTGCTGGGAGACTCTGGAGGAGACTGAGATGCATCCTCCACTCGGCACTTCTGGCTGAAGATTGTTGTGAATGCTTCAGCCTTACCTTTTGCACTGATGTGTTGTTCTCCCCCATCATTGAGGGTGTGGATATATGTGTACCTCCAGTGAGTTGTTTAATTGTCCACCATCATTCAGGACTGGCTGTATCAGGACTGCAGAGCCATCTAATCCACTAGTTGTGGGATGGTTCTATTGTGTGCTGTTTCTGCTGTTAGAAAAGCACATAGCCCTGGAGTTTGTAGTTTCAGTGTTTTGGCATCACATTTTTTCAGTTTGTCTTGTGTTGCTCATGGCATACTAATCTGATTCTCTTCACTGATCTCCCAGCCTGATGGCAATGGTAGAGTGGGGGTTAACCTAGATCTGAGGTTACAGCTTATGGCTGAATGGGCTTACAATGTCATCTCTAAATTGGGGACTTCATGTTGGAGCTCTTAGGACAATTTTTCTGAACATATACCACTGTGTCTCCACCTCTGTTGGGTCTGTTCTGCTGGTGGGACAGGACATATCCAGGGATAGTAATGGTGGTGCCTATGACTTTTTAAGTTATGGTTCCATGAGATGGCTATGTGTGGCTGTTAGTTGACCAGTCTGTGAAACAGCTCTTCCCTTTTTTGCACTAGCTCCCAGATGTTAGAATTAGATTCCCTACAGTGTGGAAACAGGCCCTTCGGCCCAACACGTCCACACCGAACCTCAGAGCATCCCACCCAGATCCATTCCCCTATGACCCACCTAATATACACCCTCTACCTCCCTGAACACTACGGGCAATTTAGCATGGCCAATCCGCCTAACCTGCACATCTTTGGACTGTGGGAGGAAACCGGAGCACCCGGAGGAAACCCACGCAGACACGGGGAGAATGTGCAAACTCCACACAGACAGTCGCCCGAGGCTGGAATCGAATCCAGGTCCCTGGCGCTTTGAGGCAGCAGTGCGAACCACTGTGCCACCGTGTTGCCCATGTTAATGAGGAGGACTTTGCAGGATTGACAGGGCTGTGTTTGCTCTCATCATTTTTGGTGCCTTGGTCAATGCAGAGTAGTCTGGTTCCATTCTTACCATATTGCCATTCCTTAAGTGCTGCTGGTTTGAAATTCTGGAAGTCCATCCCTAAAATTACTGTGGGTAATCCCTACACCTCAGGCCGGTATCAGCTCAAGAAGGCAGCTTCTCCTGGGCAATCAGGATGGACAATAAATGCAAATAATCTGATCCAGAGACACCTATGACCAAATAAAACAAAATCAGGGAAATTGATGAAACAAAGTGGGGGCTTGACAATGCTGATTCTGAGAGGATATTCGCCTTTCTGAACAGAAGTCGAACAGCAGAATAGTTTTAAAATAAGTGTTTTCCCATTTAAAGTGGGAATGAGGAAACATTTCATCTCTCAACTCATCTTTAAAGTTCACAGAGTGAAACACCACATGGCGGATTTTTACTCTCTACCTGCATCCAAAATATTACAATTAGTATAGAGTCATAGAGTCATAGAAGTATACAGCACAGAAACAGGCCCTTTAGCTCAACTCGTCCATGCTGATCAGGTTTCCTCAGCTGAACTCTTCCCATTTTCCAGTGTTTGGCCCCTATCCCTCTAAACATTTCCTGTCCGGATAGTTTTTAAATGTTGTAATTGTACCCACCTCTATCACAGCATCTAGCAGCTCGTTCCATAAACACACCAGCATCTGTGTGAAAAATTTGTCCATCATGTCCCTTTTAAATCTTCCCCCTCTCATGTTAAACCTATGCTCTCTAGGTTTGAGTTACCCATCCTGAGGAAAAGACCTTGGCTATTCACCTTAACTATTCTCCTTATGATTTTATACATCTCTATAAAGTCACCCTTCAGCCTTCTATGCTCCAAGTTAAAAACGCCCCAGCCTGTCCAGCCTCTCCTTTTAACTCCAACCTTCCAGTCTCAATAACATTCTTGTAAATCTTTTTTGCACCACTTCCAGTTTAGTAACATTGTTACCATAGCAGGGTGACCAGAATTCTATGCAACACAATAAATGTGGCATTATCAATAATTTGTATAGTAGTAACATGATGTCCCAGTTTCTATACTCAGTGCTCTGACTGATGAAGACGAGCATTTCAAATTCTTTCTTCACCACCCTGCCACCCTGACTTTCATTAAACTATATACCTGCACCCCTCAGTCTCTCTGTGCAACAGCACTCCTGAGGGCCCTTCCATTAACTGTGTAAGTCCTGCCCTGGTTTGTCTTACCAAAATGCAATGCCTCACATTTACTTGCATTAATCTCTATCTGCCATTCCTCGGCCCATTGGCCCAGTTGATCAAGATCCCGTTGTAATCTTAGATAACCTTCTTTACTGTCCACGGTATCACCAACTTTGGTGTTATCCGCAAACTTACTAACCACACCTCCTATATTCACATCAGAGTCGTTTATATAAATGACAAACAACAGCAGAGCCAGCACCGATCCTTGTGGCACATTGCTGTTCAAAGGCCTCCAGTCTGAACAACAACACTCTATCACCACCCTCTGTCTCCTACCGTCAATTCAATTTTGTATCCAATTGGCTAACTCTCCCTGGATCCCTTGTGATCTAAACTTAGTAACCAGTCTACCATGCAGTACCTGGTCAAAGGCCTTGCTAAAGTCCATGTAGACAACATCTATCATTCTGTTTTCATCTATCTTCTTGACATCTTTTCAAAAAAAAACTCAATCAACTTATTCATCTCTCACATTAAAATTAATCAGTAATATAAGTTTAAATTAACCTGTCCTCATATCAAAACTCACAGGCTGGAACTTGTGAATGGTCACATTAGCAATGATGTCAGGTGTTCTCTTTCATACAGAGTGTGGTCAGTACTTAAAATATGATTGTTGGACAGAGTGATGGGGTAAGGCTGTAAAATCCTTGACCTTACATAAAAAATATTAACTTTGAGCAATGGATGGAGGGTTGTGCATGAATAAATTTGGGAGGGCTTAATGAATTTCCTGATCTGTAAGTATCTTATGATCAAGGTTCTCAAATCGGGAGGCGGGGAGAGATCTTGATCAGGGTGACTCTTGTCGGGGAATGTCTGGGACAGAACCATTGGAGATATATGTAGAGTATTGAATGATCCAGTTTGTTATGAAATTGAAAGAAATGTGATGAGAATGTCTGCACACTGACCTCATCCATTCTGATGTTTGTCTTTTCCTCAGCTGCTCAGGGAAATGTCTCAGTGGTGAGTGGGACAGAGGGAGATTCAGTTACTTTACCCTGTATTGTCAAGTTCAGGAAGCCCTCCCAACTGACCACTGTTACCTGGATGAGGAAGGAACCCTACCAACACATTGTTACATTTACAGCCCAGTCACAGGGATATTGGACAATTGTAAACGGTGAAAATCGGTACAAGCTCGTCGGGAACACAGAGAAGGGAAATGCCACAACCAGGATAAACCAGCTGAGAGTGAGCGACAATCACACTTACCTGTGTCAGGTGGAATACAGATCAAGACAGTCACCATCTGAGAATTCTCAGCATCTAATCCAGAAAGAGATATGCCTGCAAGTACATGGTAAGAAGCCTTTCACACATTCTTCAGCCTGTAGAAGGTATACAGTGAGGGTGTAAAAGATTCTGTGAACTTTTAATGATTATGACTCTCTATTTGATTTTCTGGTGAATGGTCATTGAACTAAAACATTAACCCTGTTTCTCTCCACAGATAGTAGGAACTGCAGATGCTGGAGAATCCGCGACAACAAGGTGCAGAGCTGGATGAACACAGCAGGCCAAGCAGCATCATAGGAGCAGAAAGGCTGACATTTCGGGCCTAGACCCTTCAACAGAAATGGGGGAGGGGAAGGGGGTTCTGAAATAAATAGGGAGAGAGGGGGAGGCGGTAGAAGATGGATAGAGGAGAAGATAGGTGGAGAGGAAACAGACAGGTCGAGGAGGCGGGGATGGAGCCAAAAAGGTGAGTGTAGATGGGGAGTTAGGGAGGGGATAGGTCAGTCCAGGGAGGACAGACAGGTCAAGGGGGCGGGTTGAGGTTAGTAGGTAGGAGATGGTTGTGCGGCTTGAGGTGGGAGGAGGCGTTAGGTGGGTAGAAGAACAGGTTAGGGAGGCGGGGACGAGCTGGGCTGGTATTTGGATGCGGTAGGGGGAGGGGAGATTTCACAAGCTTCAAAATCTCCCCTCCCCCTACCACATCCAAACACCTCCTTCCATGTCATAGAGTCATAGAGTCATATAATAT